TCGCCGCGTTACATCAAAAGAGATTTGCATTTTCTCTCATATATTTTACATGAAAATGGGAATTCTTTGTTAATAGAATTTTTTAGTTATAGGCATTGAAATTTTTCAAAGCAACAATGAAAGTTTTAATTAAGTCCAATATATATATAAAATCTGTATTACTTTTAAAGCTTCAGTTTAATATCTGTATATAATAATATATAATATCCCTAGGCATATTAGCTAGAATTTTTATAAATACATGATTTATTTTTGATTAACTGTGTTTATTTAAATCATCTCATTTCTAAAAGCTTTTTCGCTTCAGTTATAGAACTGTGAAAAATTTCATAAATGCAGCCTTGGCAATAAGTTTAAAACACGCCTACAAATTGACATAATCATTCGATATCTAATGAAAAATAAATTAGAAAGCATAAATTAAGATTCTTATTAATATCAAATTATTAATATTTTTATAAGAACGCTTATTAGCATCGATATTATTAAATTGTTTGACAGTTTAATGTGTATTATTATTCTAGTTTTATTCATGATTGCGTTTCAAGATTAAAAAAGATTTTGACGTGCGATTTGTAGAATTTGTATAAATTTATATACTCTCAATATACACATATGAAATATTAAAACACGATGATCCGCTTTAACTAAAAGTAGAATTTTTTTACTTAATCAGATTTATCCTCATCAATCCAATTATTCCAATTTCGTATTAGAATTAAAAAACAATTTTGTTAAAAAATAATATTTATTTCGATAATAATTTTAATATTTTATTAATCCTCCTTTTGCCTTCATGACTATCTTTTTTCACGAAAATACAATAAATTAAGGATGTTTTGGACTTATATAGCCAAAGCTGTAGAAACCCCATTTGTAAAAATATTGATGTTTATTTTAAATAATTTAAATCTTAAGTTGGAAACATCTTTAATATAAATATACGTTTGCAGAATTAATTATACGTTAATATTCTCATCATACCGTGGTGTACAAATTAACTTATTAAATTTTTTTAATTTTTACATTTTACAAGAATAAATTAATGATTTTAATAAATCGAGAACATGAAATTAATTCGACATAGAAAACAATTCATTTTTTTCTCTAATTATAAAATCATATAACTTTATATTTCCCTCGTACAGCTTTGTTTTATAAATTCAAAACAAAAAATAAAAATAATAAATTAATTTTCCCGTATTTAGTTTAAAAACTGTTTACTAAAGTACAGCATACACACTCCATGTATAGCACAGTAACGCCTGTAAAGAGCTCAGAAAGCGTTTATGCAGGTAAAGTCTGCAATGAGATTTCAAAGCGTAAAACTTGAGCTTTAAGCCTTAAGCTTTAAGAAATTGACCAATCATCGATTCTCCTTACATTTGACTGTAGTCAATTTCTTATGGCTTAAAGCTTAAGCTTAAGTTTTACGCCTTAATCTCATTTTAGACATACGTGCTTTCTGAGCACTTCGCAGGTGCTGCTGTACTACGTGAGAGCTAATATTAGTAATTAACATTATTTAATATTACAATTAAATAACATTGATCTAAGTCATACTATTTAATTGTGCTGATATTATTTTCAACCTCAAATTTATTGAGCGGCGCGTTAATTCTTACAATTAGTGCCGAGTAGAAACGATCTCCGTGGCGCAGTTTTAAACGAGTCGGGGGCAGCGACGAGGAGAGCCCTTGAAATTTTCACACCGCCGTACTTTCTTAGGTCGTATCCCGGGTAACAGAATGAAACAAATTCGAGCTTCGGCAGTTGCCAGTACCGTAATCGCTTCGGTAACGAAATGTTCGTCGCGAAACGCGAGCTTTCGCGAGAGTCCCGCACCGACGTGCTTTCGCGGTCCCATCCGCGAGAATAAATAAAAAATCCACGGACATATTTCGTCGCTAATCTCGGCTCTAAAAATAAGTGACCTATTTTATGTTTTTACGGTCTTCCCTCATCGCAGGAATTAGAGAATTTAGATTAATCTCGTGATTAAATGTGCTCGCGAATTTAGTTAATGCGCAATTTCGGTAATTCGCTTTTTGCTTTAGAATGATTGACGCAAAGATCGATTAATTTTGCAAAAAAAAGTCGTAATTACATTGAAATTACGTTGATTAATTTGTAATATAAACGGAACGCGTCAATTTGCTTTTTTTCCATGGAGAAAGAAAATTGCGCACTGTAAAAACAGGAAACTCTAATGGCGTGAAAATGAAAATTGACTGCGTCTGTGGAGATAATGATAGTGATTAAGGGAAAATTGATTGCGAACGGGGAGAAATTCTTCCTGTCGATGCCACCTGCGATCTGAAATTGCTCGTCTTGAAATATCCGCAGTGAGGACTCCTATATCGATGATGACGCGATCTATGTTAATCGCAGCTGTAGAAATCGCTCATGTGATCGGTGTCTTGTAATCTCATGTGCTCCATATTGCTTTCCAACTTTTCCGGGTGAGAATCCGTGCAGTTTCTCATCTCATGCAGCCTTCAGTCACCTCGAAAGTGTAATAAATGCTCGTCATCAGCAGATCATCCCAATCATCCGTCGAAAGATCTCTCGCTTCTCAAAACCGACTGTTCATGTAGTTCTACTCCCGGGTACGATCGCACGAATCTGGACATTTGTCCGAATTTATTTAAATAAATATGTATAGAGATGTGTACAGGACATTTCTTAAACACTGTCCAATATTTTAGGAATTGAACAAATACAATGAAAAGAAAAGAGTATAGGCTAGTAAGAATCAACATAGATGTTAAAATAATGTAATGTACAAATATATTCGAAGTGTGTAGATAATATAAAAATTACTGAGACGCAATTTGGAGGTTTCGGTTCATATTTAGGCTAGAGATCCTTTAATAGAGTCTGACCAAGAATTTTGTCAAAACAAGATTGAGAAAAAAAAAGTATGAATAGTGTATTTTTTTAGATCTATTTTATTCTAATTAATACTATCTTATTCATGTTACTGTACTGAAGTTAACAAAAACGATAGTTAATCAATCAAAAATTTGTCATCTTATAGCCAGACTCTGTTATAAAGTCGTCAATTTGGGCTTTAGCATCCAGTTACTTGCAACTGGATGCTAGATTGAGACAATTTTAATCTATATTATAATTATGAGATGACTTCCGATTGAATTTTCATACTATAAATGAGTCTAAACATGAGCAAAAACATACACAAATTTTGCTTTTCAGTAACTTTTGTTTTACTTTAAATATATTAATTCGCATAACTCTTCATTAATCAAACTTTTTTCTTTTTACTATTGTTTAATTTCAAGAGACTAATTTATTAAATTGTTTAATTTTAGAAGTAAATTTTTTAGGTTATTTTATGAAGAAGATTCATATGATATCACATGTCTTAAGCTTTTCGAAGATATACACAGAAAAATATTTCGCTGCTGAAAAAAGTGATTATTCAGTTTTTTTCTTTTAAGTATCTTTTAAGTATTATATTCTATTTAATAAAATATATTTTCTTGATGATAATTTTAAATATTGTAGAACATATTTATAACAAATTTTAGAAAAATTCGTTATTATGTACTTAAAATGAAAATTCATTTTCATAAAGAATATTATAAAATTTTATTTATATTATTGTAATTTATTAACTTTGATTGAAGCATTAAACTTATTAGGATTTATAGAATATACTTTAAATAAATTTGAGTTTTTTATTATCGTGTTTTCTTAAGGAAGCATTTTAAAGTTGATGGTCAAAATTAATCATTTTTTTAAATTTTTATTGTTTCTGATGTTAAAAATTTTCTAAAATAGTTTATTAAAGCTTTTTCGTAAGTTTTTTTTTCATTTGAGAGCTGTTAAGATAAAATGATAATTTTATATAAAATTTTTTAAATATTTGACTTTTGGGATATACTCATACAAATTTTCCTTTATAAAATAATTTAAAAAAATTAACTCTTAAAATATTCGATAGTACTTAAGAAACATCCTGTATTTTGGTACAAGATACATCTTATTAAAATTAAAAAGACAAAAAAGTAAATTGGATTAAAAATCCATGGATTCAAAGACTAAATCGGATGAAAAATCAAACAAGAATACATTACGAGTCAGGTTTTCACGTTAACATTTTTGTAACAAACGTTCTAAATATACAAAACAAATGTTTCCATCAGACCATTCTCAGTACTAATTATAGACACAATGTCTCTCAAATATCAGTTAAAAATACAATCCAAATTGGTAGATTAATATTAAAGAAGTATTTACAACATTGACTTCTAATATTAATAGAACCTATTTGTGTTTTTAACTGACATTTGATATTGATTTTATAATAAACTTTAAAGATGACTTGAAAGATCAAAAGTATTTATTTTGTATATTTAAAATATTTGTTACATAAATTTTAATATTAAAATGTAGCTTAACTTGTAGCCTATTATAGTTTTCATTTAATTAAAATTACTTAGATCGAAATTATATTTAATGTTTCAAATATACGGAATCCTATAGTCTTTGAGTGATCAATCTGCTCGTTGCGAACTAAATTTATATCCAATATTCTACTCCGAAAATAGAACTACGTAATACTCGGAGCTGCGCCTATTGAATTTAAGCGATATCGCCTGCCATAGTATTTGCTTTCATTAGAAAACTAGAGATTATATTTGAGACGAAGGGTAGGTTGGTATGTGATGGAATCACTTCGGATTACCGTTTGATATCTTCTCGAATAAAAGGTGCAAAGCACCTTTCGAAATTAGCTGTTAATCTTCAACGCTCGCAATTGTTAAATCGGCTCCGAAATTCGCAAAATCTCGCGAATCTCGTTTACTTCCGCTCGATCACCTCCCCTTTGTTTCCGATCGGGACGATTGATCTCCATCTGACGACGAATCGTCCCGACGACGCCGATAGGGCTAATAAGACGAGGCGCGCGATTTGATAAGAGCGGCCGCGGAACGGGGTGGGTGGTTCTGAAATGGAAATTTTGCCAATTGCAGAGTGAGCTGCAGAAGGGCGCAACAGCACCAAGTGACGACCTCCGACCTCGCCCTCTCCAATGATGACGAGTGCGACAATCAGGTACTGCGGGCGTATCCTTTTCGAACCGTCGCGCCGCGGTGATCCTTCGCCACGCAGCGAGTCTTACAATCAATTAAAGTCAAAGTCGGATAAAATGAAAGTTGAAAATGGATGTTTAAAAATAACGTTGAATAAATTTTGATCACATTTTGTTTTTTAACAAGTAATAGGTGTTTCTTGTAGGGCTTTTTACACTGATAAAGAATATGCTTTTCAAAAATTTCGTTACCCTTGAATTTTTAGAAATTTTGCTTTGAATTTTTTGTATATAATAACACAAATTCATAATATATACATATGTTATCTGTAAAACATTTAAATCTTTTTTACAACATATGAAAGTAAATATGACGGCATTTATATGACGAAGTCCCTCTTATTATTTATGTATCATTTTCAGTGATATATGTAAATAATAAAATTATTGGCAATATTTAATAAGAGAAATCTGTTTTTTGTTTCTCAACATCTAAATAGTGATTCTTTTTATATTTTATTTCATAAAGTAAATGAAGTTGTGAGTTGTTTAAATGTAGAGTATTTTCAAAAATTTATGTGTTTTACAATATATGAAAATAAATGTGATAAAGCTCTTATTGTTTATATGCAATTTTAAGTGACATATATATAAATACATAAATAATGAAATTATTGGCAACATTTAATAAACAAATTACGATAATTTATAAGAATTTATAAGAAAAACAAAGCCCTTGTTTTTTTCTGGAAAATTTATGGAACTTCATTAATTTTTTTATTTTTTATTTTAGCAGCTAAAAACATAAGAAAATAGATGTTGAGAAATCATGTAAATCAGATAATTAGGAGGATTAAAGTACCGTCGCGTGAATTTTAGAAATTAGCGTAACACTAAAACACATCATAAAATTCCTACACAATTTTTTAACTGGAATTTTAATTTCCAAAAACATTAATCTTGTTTAATCTTAATTTTGCTTTTATTCATACAAATTATGAAGCGTAGAACAAAGAGCTGCCGCGCTCTCTTGCCTGTGAAAAATTATGATAGGAATACCGTACGGGTGAAAGAGTTCGAAGGGATACACCTAGAAAGCCGCTAAAGTCGGATATCGCGATTCTTTATCCCCGATGAAAATTTGTGTCACCAGTATCGTCGTAAAAAAAAAAAGAAAAAGATATTGAAAGCTTTCTCGCGATCAATCAGGATGAAACACGGTCGTGTCCTTTTTTCCAGGATTACGATGACGAGATCGAGAACGGACGGGGTCGTAGACACAGTTCCCCAGGTGGCTCGCGGGGTAACCCCAGGGATTATGGCCATCACTTGCACCCGGACAATTTGGTGAGTCGATCAGCACAAATTCGATCATCGGACACGGCACTTTGAGACACCCTCTATATTCTCTCCAATGCTATTGAAATACTCCGATCACGTCCGAAAGTGAGAGAATTTACTGATGCGCAACTCAATTCCTTTGATGTTGATTTAAATTAATTGATTTTTATTTTAATGTAAAACTCGAGACGCAAATTCAATGAAGGAGATTTCGATTTAAATTCGAGTGATAAATTTAGTAGAGTATTTAAGTCTCAATCTATTATAGTTTATATCATAAGATTTTTTTGAATTTAAAAATTTATATGTCGGACTATAACAAAGTATATTAACTTTTGTAATTACATTTTTTAATACTATATTACATCATGTAATTATATTTTCAATTATATTATATTCTTAATAATACAATCAAATTGCTTCATTCTTGAAATGTAAATATTTATTGTTTGATATTTTAATTGAAAAAACTAGAAGATATTCGATTATTATTTGCCTTATAAGGTCGGTTTATTTTTAATGGCTAAGGATTTTCGTTTCGAAATAGATTTATTGTAATAGCTTTACCGTAGAATAACAAGACAAACGAATTAGACACTCTTTAAAGCGTATAATCTTCTAATTCTAGAATAGGCGATCCTTTTATAGAAGTAGACAAGCGATCGTGTGACAGTCTCTCAGGGAGAAAAGTTTTAGAAATTCAAATTTCGTCACTATAGTTTGCATCCGATGTATTTAATACACGTTGCGAGTTGTGATCCCGTTACAAGAATAATTACACAAACAAAGATTGCTGTTTACAGTACAGACTTAAGTATCGCGTGCTGCAGGCAACAGGTAAATCTCAAACGCTTACTTACTTTATGCAAATTACACTTTAAAATGTTACATCGTGGGAAGTATATAACAAAAACAATTTTATTAAACACTAGACACAAAATATTTTAATTAATTATACATACATAATTTTTAAAAGAATATTTATTTAATATAAATAAAATATTAATTTGTATAAAAGATATCTATTAATAATTTATATATACATATATATATATATATATCAGTCTTCCCTTTTGCATTTTTAAGTTTATTAACCCCTTATTATTATCAGATAATATTATTTTAATTATTAAATCATATTATGTGTGTTTTATATTAATATCAGATCTGTATTTATTATTTTTCTTACATGAATAAAAATGTAACTTATTTAATTTCTCTCTAATATCTTTGCTAACGAGTAGTGCTAAGAGTTGTAAACGAAAGTACGTGCGAAATCGAATTTTTGCTGGGCGGCCTCATTTAAATTCGTATATAACGCTCGAGCAACGTTGCGCGATAATTTCACCGTTTAATTTGTGCACGCTTGTTATTCACATACAGTTATTTACGTGCAATACATACACGCAGCATCACTTTAGAGCGAATTTATGAGTAAATGGAACAAAGATAAAAAAAAGGATTGCGTCGAATCAAATTTTTTTTTGAAAAAAAAAAGATTTAAAGAAAATAAAATATTCTAATTAATTGTGCATTAAAAGAATATTCAATTAATATGTATAAAATGTATATGCATAAAAATTGATGATTATTAATAAATTAGAGAACCGGAACTAATTATACTTTTCTAATTATACTTTTATTATTAAACTAACTTGTTATTAATTTATTATTGCGTTTTAATTACCGCATTCGATTCATATTTCTATATGAATATCGCATTTCGAATACTAGTCTTATTATACAATTTATAAATTAATTAACTGAGAAAAAAATCATTCATTTGTTGGAAAATATATGTATTTAAGGCGAATATAATATGTTTGACTTAAATACATACATTTTTCATCAAAAGAAATAATGACGAATTTTAATTTAGTCAAATAAACAACTTTTTTTGCATAAATTATGATATAATTTTTTCGTATTAATTAATATAAATCATGATATAATTGTGTATATCGTTCCTCATTTATTATACTTTATATTCCAGTTTTTAATTAAAAATTGATAGATGATATGGCTCGCGATATGGCTCGTCTATGCGTCATTCATATGTGCGCAATTGCGCCTTTCGTTATCTTGCAACGTACAATCATCGATCGGAATTGTAAACGTGAGCGTAATAAGCTTATTTTCTACGCCGTTTTTACAGTTTACACCAACGCGTTTTATGTGATTCGCGCGTATAATCGTAATCACGATACCGACCTGATAATGTATGTCATTGACGCGAAAACAAATTTACAATGAGATCAATGATGTCGGGTTATCAACAGTAATTCGTGTGTAATTCGCTGGTAAATATAGGACGCGTACTCGAGAGGTATTTACTGATGTTTATAACGCGTTGTTGTTCGACAGAGTTATAAAAATTAAATATTTATTATAGTCGCAGCATCAAATAACAGTAATAACCGATATCGATATAATGATAAATGCTCTCACATATTTATTTCCTTCCTATCAATTTATTCTTATTTATAGAGCAGTTTTTCATTGTTTACATTTCTCACGCCCTATTTTTATTCCAATGGTCTATTTAGGTGGAGATTATAAAGGTCAATATAATTCGTGCACGCGCGTGTTTTGCATCAACTGATGCAGCTGTAAACTTTCCATGATGAACCTCCCTGATAGACAGTCGCATGATCGCACCCCGATAATGTTATAGACGTAGAATTCAAAGTGGTAAATCATCAGTTCATCTAATAATGTCTAATGGTCGTTATAGATGATTGTAGTAATCCATACGAAAAAGGAGTGACATTAAGCTCGTCGCGCGAAACGTCTCGCGTCTTGTTTTGCGCGATCTTAATTGTATTTATCCTATATGATAATGACTATCCCCAACGGGGCAGGAATAAATAGACAATCATAGTTTTTTAACGTGGAATAAATGTCAGAAAAACATCCGATATTCGTCAGCGATGTCGACACTTTGTCCCGGATGTTCTATATAAAAGATCAAACTGAGAAAATAATACCAGCTAAAATAAAACCATATAAATTTTCGGAAATTCAATACAGAAAGAACGGTTTTGCTGAAGCATCCAAAAGTTTAGCTACAGTGAGTGCAAAAAATATCTATACAGAAAAGATATCTTCCTAGTTTTAGGAAGTAAACATTAATTAGCAATTTATATTAACAAAAAGTAAAATAGATTGTATATTTCTCAAAATTATTTTATCTAAAAAGTTATAATAATTGAAATATATTATCTTAATAATAAGCAAAAATGAAAAACTATTATTTAGAGGCACAGAAAATATTCGTAGAAATTTAAAATCGAGAGATTTAAGATCGTGAACTCGTTATTTTCGCGAAGGTCTTTTATTTATGCTAGAACAGAATGTACTCTTTTTAAAAAAAAAAATGGCTAATTAATCCTCTATTTTCTACAAATAGACTTTTTTAAAAAGTTTCTTCCATATGTGAATACTTGTATTCACTGTAAATACAAATCTAAAAATAACTTTGTTGGACCACCAAAATAATTATGACACACAAATTATAGTTGTTAGAATGTCAAAACTTTTTGCAGCTTTATCATCATGATTAAACGACCTGGATAATTACTTTGATAGTCTAACAAAATTAGTTTTAGATTTATATCTAGCTAAATTTTTAAGTACTTCAGTAAAATCGTTTTTTCCACATATAAAAAAAAAGACAAAAATTTAGAAGATTCAGCATTTAAACGTTACACTTTAAAAGTAAACATCAGACATCTCGAGATCCAGAAAATCATGCTTTTCCTCTTTACCTGGCATTCTTGAGTAACTCTTTGAAGTCTTAAGAAAGTCACTGCTTAAATATTCCTCAAGAAACGCGAGGGATGTCATAAAAGAGCTTACTGCGTTTGGCAAAGGCCACGAGATTCCTGACCTCGATATTTTATATTTCTATGCATAAACGACGACACGCAATCGGGAAGAAGCAGGAATATATCAAATAAATGTAGCAAAGTCGCAATGTATTAGAGACGTTTAATAAGATCGACGAGAGATAAACGAACACGAGATGATCGAGGTACACAGATAGATGCCGATACGAAACGAACAGAAGAGCCAATGAAGTAGCAGCTCGGGCAGCCACAGTGTTATCGATGTCACTGACATGATGTAGTTTCTGAAAAGTGCCCTATAATCGTTCGTTCTCCCCAAGAATAACGACTTCTACCGACTATAACGTCTGATGAAAAAAAAGAAACGTCCGGATTGCTTTCTGCCAGGCAGGTGCGTAGAACGAGATAATGAAGAAACCGCGATTTTATGGACGACATCGTAACTATACATTTGCTCTGCTTGAAGTACTCGAACGGAGCGATAGGAAGGAAATACCAATTATCGGAATTCCCTTCTCGAGAAGGTCGAGGAACTTCACGATCTAACAACGTCTAGCAACTCTTGTAGATTTAACGATTCTTAATATCAACATTAGTTTTAAACAATGTACACGGAAAGAATGGTTTTGTTGAAGTATCTAAAAATTTAGTTAGCTAAGATTTGAAAAGATTTAAAAATAATTCTGTTTGAGCTATCAAAATAATTATGCAGAACTAGTTTCTAGAATATTAAAACTCTTCGCAGCCTTATCATCAACGCTTAAACGTTATACAGAATTATTTAAATATTATTTTAATAATCCAACAAAATTATTTTCAGATTTGTGTCTACTTAAATTTTTAGATGCCTCAGCGAAGTCGTTCTCGAAAAACTTTCCGATGTACTGATCCGATCTCATTATGATTTTATTCCGATTTTCATTTGTTAGCATCACTAATTTTGAAAGTTAAAACAACTTCGTCTTATCATCTTTTTCACATGCAAAGAACAATTTTGCTGAGGTATGAAAAATTTACTAAAGCTTTACTTTCAGAGCTGAAAATAATTTTGCTAGACTATCATAATAATTATTAGGACACGTTTAAATTGGTTTAATGTTATCGTGTTTCATGCTTTGGTGTTCTAGTTATGTTGATCCAACAAAATTATTTTTAAAT